AAATCACAAGTTTGTAACAACTTTTACACTGACACTTGCAGATACAGTGCCTGCAGACTACTTCATGTCTGCTCCCAATGTTTCCGGGCTCACTCCAAAGTGATGTGTCCAAATAACTTATATCCTAAGCAGTACCTTTCGTCTCTTAATGTCTCCCTACAGAAAGAGTTATTGTGTGGTCACCCATCTCACCATCTCATAGAATTTTTGGTGGCAGGGTTTACTTTGGGGTTTTTACACGGGTATTATTCATACAGGGAGTGCAGAATTAATAGGCAAATGAGTATTTTGACCACATCATCCTCTTTATGCATGTTGTCTTACTCCAAGCTGTATAGACTCGAAAGCCTACTACCAATTAAGCATATTAGGTGATGTGCATCTCTGTAATGAGAAGGGGTGTGGTCTAATGACATCAACACCCTGTATCAGGTGTGCATAATTATTAGGCAACTTCCTTTCCTTTGGCAAAATGGGTCAAAAGAAGGACTTGACAGGCTCAGAAAAGTCAAAAATAGTGAGATATCTTGCAGAGGGATGCAGCACTCTTAAAATTGCAAAGCTTCTGAAGCGTGATCATCGAACAATCAAGCGTTTCATTCAAAATAGTCAACAGGGTCGCAAGAAGCGTGTGGAAAAACCAAGGCGCAAAATAACTGCCCATGAACTGAGAAAAGTCAAGCGTGCAGCTGCCACGATGCCACTTGCCACCAGTTTGGCCATATTTCAGAGCTGCAACATCACTGGAGTGCCCAAAAGCACAAGGTGTGCAATACTCAGAGACATGGCCAAGGTAAGAAAGGCTGAAAGACGACCACCACTGAACAAGACACACAAGCTGAAACGTCAAGACTGGGCCAAGAAATATCTCAAGACTGATTTTTCTAAGGTTTTATGGACTAATGAAATGAGAGTGAGTCTTGATGGGCCAGATGGATGGGCCCGTGGCTGGATTGGTAAAGGGCAGAGAGCTCCAGTCCGACTCAGACGCCAGCAAGGTGGAGGTGGAGTACTGGTTTGGGCTGGTATCATCAAAGATGAGCTTGTGGGGCCTTTTCGGGTTGAGGATGGAGTCAAGCTCAACTCCCAGTCCTACTGCCAGTTCCTGGAAGACACCTTCTTCAAGCAGTGGTACAGGAAGAAGTCTGCATCCTTCAAGAAAAACATGATTTTCATGCAGGACAATGCTCCATCACACGCGTCCAAGTACTCCACAGCGTGGCTGGCAAGAAAGGGTATAAAAGAAGAAAATCTAATGACATGGCCTCCTTGTTCACCTGATCTGAACCCCATTGAGAACCTGTGGTCCATCATCAAATGTGAGATTTACAAGGAGGGAAAACAGTACACCTCTCTGAACAGTGCCTGGGAGGCTGTGGTTGCTGCTGCACGCAATGTTGATGGTGAACAGATCAAAACACTGACAGAATCCATGGATGGCAGGCTTTTGAGTGTCCTTGCAAAGAAAGGTGGCTTTATTGGTCACTGATTTGTTTTTGTTTTGTTTTTGAATGTCAGAAATGTATATTTGTGAATGTTGAGATGTTATATTGGTTTCACTGGTAATAATAAATAATTGAAATGGGTATATATTTGTTTTTTGTTAAGTTGCCTAATAATTATGCACAGTAATAGTCACCTGCACACACAGATATCCCCCTAACATAGCTAAAACTAAAAACAAACTAAAAACTACTTCCAAAAATATTCAACTTTGATATTAATGAGTTTTTTGGGTTCATTGAGAACATGGTTGTTGTTCAATAATAAAATTAATCCTCAAAAATACAACTTGCCTAATAATTCTGCACTCCCTGTATGCCTACTGGAATCTTAGAATGTAAAAACTTACAGACAGCACAGGCAGCTCCCGACACAATTGCATACTTCTCCAAAAATAAATTGACCAAGGATTCTTAATTGGCCCTTTCGACTCCCCGCCTTTCGCGGTTTGGAGAACTAACCCCATAGGACTGGTCAGAAGTAAATCATCCAATAAGCAAAGGTTAATTCTCGACCTCTCGGCTCCACATGCATCACCTACCCCAAGTCTCAACTCGCTCATTCCATCAGAAGATGCTACCATAGATAATGCCATCACTGCCATCCTCGGTGGCAGGGGTGCGGGCATGGCTTAGCAAAACAGATATAGTGAACGGTTTTAAGTTACTCCCTATCCATCCGTCCCTGTGGCATTTACATGGTGTTAAGTGGCATGGTTCATATCATTTTTTCACGCGTCTCACGTTTGGTTCCAAGAGCAGCCCCAGGATTTTTGATATATTTGCTGAGACATTGTGCTGGATGCTGCTTAACATCTGTAAATGCCCCCCGTTATCCATTACATGGACGATTTTTTGACCATAGAAAGTAACCTGTTACCTCCCAGTAGCCTCCTTTTTATAACACGACTGTTCACACAACTGGGAGTACCTATTTCACCAACAAAGCTGGAAGGTCCGGATACGAACATCAACTTCTTGGGGGTGGTGCTGGACTCTGTGCATATGCAGGCTAGTCTCCCCGGGGAGAAGATTGAACGCGTCCTTTCAGCCATTGACCATTACCTGGCAGGGGGTTCTTGTAATAGGAAGGAGTTGCAATCCCTGTTGGTTCACTTAATTTTGCTATGAAAATTATTCCACAGGGGAGAGCGTTCATATCCTGATTACTAGCTTATTTCCCCTATTACAATCTGATTCCTCCCGCGTTAAGTTAGATGTACATGCCACCGCTGACCTACGCATGTGGAGGGAATTTTTGCTGCACTGGATGGACGGATAGGTCTGTGTCTGTCTGGATGGATGCCGTGGCCACTTCAGGATTTGCCGTAATTTTTGGCAATGAATGGATGTGGGGCAAATGGCCTGGGGAAATTACGGAGATGCCAGAGTTCAAAGACACGTCGGCATTATTTGAGCTTTACCCAATTGTGGCAGCAGCAGTTAAATGGGGAGCTTGCTGGTCTGTGAATACGGTGAGTTGCTTCTCAGACAACATGGCAACGTGCCATATTGTAAACAAGGGACGTTCCTCTTCCCTGGCCATCATGCGATTTATTAGGACTCTCACGTGGCTACCTGCAAAACACAGTTTTCTCTTAACTTGCATACATGTGCCTGGAGTTCTGAATATAGCTGCTGATCATTTATCGCGATCTCGATTTCAGGAGTTCCGGACGGCACTACAAACAGCTACCCTGATACCAACTCCGGTACCGCGGTGGCAGGACATGGTTTGGGACTAAAGGAACTACTCACTCATGGGCATCAACTCTCCCAACTTGGTCTTTCTGATAACACCAGGAAGGCATATGGCAGGGCTTTTCATATTTTTAATAAATTCGTGCTGTACTTATTGCATTAATTTCCTTTTGCCACCTTCACCTAACACTATCATTCAATACCATTAAATTATATATCAGCGGGATTCAACATCACATCCTCACCACTTGGCCTAATAAACAACGCTTTCTGTCATCTTACCAAGTAAAAGCCATACTTAAAGGTATCAAGGTCTCCACCCCTACACCCACACCATCCAGATTACCTATCCATGATCTATTGTTCCAGTCACTGTCAAACCTGTTAGACACCTCACCATTCGAAACTTATACTAATCATGTCATTAAAACAGCCATTTATTTAGCTTTTTACGGTTTTCTTCGGCCCAAAGAATTTACCACCGCTAACTACAACACCCCCAACTTCATCACAAGGTGAAACCTGGAAAAATCACACGATCACTATTTACTGTCCCTACACCATACAAAAACTAGTGCCAAAGGTCAGAGGGTCACTATTACCTATTACCCCACTAGTAATAAATGGTGCCCTGTGGAAGTTTTCGACCAATACGAGTAAATTCATGCTCTGTGTAAGAATGTTGTTGGGTCGGTTAGGTTTGAACCCAGCCGAATATTCGGGTCACTCATTTAGAATGGGAGCAGCTATTACCGCTTCTAAAAGGCACACATCATTAAAATATTAGGCCGATGGAAATACATTCCAGATACATTCCTCAGCCGGTACAAGAGGTGCACCTAGCATTTAAAAATATGATTATGTGATATCTTATGGTGTATTGTAGGCTGAATAAACTGGTTACATCTTTTTGCCCTCTTTTTTTTCAGGCCTACTACCTCGTCAGTTCCGGCACACCACAACTGACTTTTCCATCCCCTGTTTGTTTTATGTTACTAACGCTACGGCTTTATGCCCTGATCACAAATGGAAGGCAGGGCCTGAAGTTGTGGGAGGGGCTTGGTTCCCCTTCTTAAGGAGCACCAGTCCTACCCTCACTACCGTCTTAGGTCTGGTGATTTGTCCCACCCACCACACCTCCATTTATAAGCATTTCATGAGGTAGGCCCTCTTTTATTTCAGGCCAACTACCTCGTCAGTTCCGGCACACCACAACTGACTTTTCCATCCCCTGTTTGTTTTATGTTACTAACACTACGGCTTTATGCCTTGACCACAAATATATATATACTCACACGCATATACACACAAATACATATATAGGTGCGTGTGTGTCTGTGTGTATACCTATCTATTTATCTCTAGAATTATTCTGTTCTTATCTAGGACTGAACTAGCAAATATATTAAGGTTTATTTAATTTTTTTTGTTTTAATGAAAATTAATTATGCCATACCGGGTGAATTGTACATCACTGCATAATTCATTGATTCTTTCAAAATAATAAAATTAAGACATGAATATGACTGATAATATATAGTTGGTTGTAGATATATTAATCATTTTCATTCAAGAAAATGCTGAAAAGATCAGACTGTCCTTGAACTGACACAAACCAAACTGAAAATATCCCTCTAGCACTAAGACTGGTATGGCAGCATGTCTTTTTAATATGAACGTTGAAAAGGAATGTTTTCAGTAGAAATGTTTCTAATTGTTTTAGCAAACAATGCTTTATTTGGAAATGGTTACTGACAATTGGAAAACAAAATTAGTTTCTTACGTGACCTTGTTGATTTATAATAGGCAAGTATTAGAGTGGATTCTCATAATCCCTTGACACGGACCTTCAATTTCATTACCTATTATTGTAAATGTTACCACTGATGGATAGTCATGGCATGTGTCTGAAAGAGCAGAGGTAAATGTCCATAACAAGTAATTTTAGAAGTTATTTGTGTGACATTCATTTTGATTTTTAATTTCAAAGCTAACATTTTGCCATAATTCCTATAATTTATAGTGTCTGATTTTAGAAATGTTTACAATTCCCATGGCCATTATTTGCACTGAGTTCCAGATGACCTTCATGTAGAATTCAGCATGTCTCTTAATGACATTCACTGTTGAAAATTCAAAACAATTGGAGAATCTCTTCTGAACAATATAATATGCTGCAGAATGTTATTTTGCTATATATTTACTAGCACAACATAAAATGCTTGGTGATTTTTATAATAATGCATTTTATTTAATTAATACGTTTTATAAAATAATAATTTTTCCATAAAATATAAATTGTGTAATAAAAAAAAATAAAAAAAAATATATATATATATATATATCGAAACATTTATTACATATATAATATATGAATATATATTTTCTTTTACAACTTCTGCTTTTTCTCTCACTTCTCACTTGATCTGTGAATATAATCAATGTTCTAGTGGCTGTCCATTAGCCAATCAATCATATTTTTCTCATCAATCATTTTTTTGGTGCCATGAGCGAAATCAAGACTCATAAATCAAAACGAACATGCTCATGCATTGCGCATTTTAGTTGGTTGTAATTTATGCATATTTTGGTTTGGGTTTTGTGAACTCAGCTGATCACCTGATCGTCCTAAATTCAGATGACCCAACACACACATCAGCCTTTCTAACCTGTATTTGTATCTAACCCAAAAGCTTACCTTGCACCCTTCTCTAAACACTCACCTTATTGTATGAAGTGACTGTAATGCTGTGTTTTGTAGTGTACAGGAGGATCTATCAATCTATATCCCCTACTCTTTACATAAACCATAACTATAAAATATTCATCCACTTTGCATCACTTGCTGCTATATAAAATTATGATATACCACTTCTGGATTCTGATTTCATCCACACTTATTCTTTTCCAGAATGGAAATATTGAATATCACCCTATTCTAAACCACTAGTAACATCCTTGCAATATAGGTTTATGTCACTGTGTGCCATGGGCAAGACAGCCACCATGTAAACTTACAAAATTGCTGGCTCTCCCTTCTGCTGGCCTCCCTCATGGTGGCTTGCATCAATCTTCTACTGTGCACTTGGTTGCCCTGAGACTCAGCTGAGACCCCAGGGTGGCTGGGGCATTTGGGGGGTGGGGGGATGCCCACAGGGTGTCATTAACCAGTAAAATAAACAATATGGCTCTGCTCTGGTGGATGTGTGACCCCTTCATCTGCTTATAAAACTATTCCTGCCCTCAGTGCCCTGATTACATGCTAATAAAGTGTGTTTACTTGTGTGCTACAGTAGAACAAAGAAATGTCCTGGGAAACATAGGTCATCAAAGTAGTGCATTTTGATCAACCCAACTTGCATTTTGCATTTGAAACTTTTGAAATTAATTAAATAGTCTTTAAAAAGTCTGTGCACTTTTTTGCACTCTCCTCCCTCCTGATCCCATTGATCTTAATATTTGACACTGTAATGCCTGGTTACACCATGCATAATCTTATATTGATATTATTATTCCTTTGTTAACCCCATGTTCTTGGCACACCACACTCTCAGCTTATCAATCAATTTTCCCTGTACAAGAAGGTCATTGTCTCTGCAATCATGCAACCCACAATCTTTAAGGCATATTTTGATATGAGGGAAAAGAACTCTCTAGAAGAGTGGGAATACCAGGAGCTGGCTAGGTGACTAATGGCTAAAATACTAATACATAGAGATAAATATAAATATAAAAAATATAAATATAAAAATATATATATGGTACTATGCCTTTAAATCTGGAATGGACAAAGTATCCCTATAAATGTGCAAAACTGTGAGTAAAAGTGCTATGAGTGGAGATCTCAAATAAACGGGATATCCCTTTAAATGTGCAAGAATACAAAGAGAATGCTGCTATACCTTTAAATGTCCTTTAAGAGTGTGCAAACATGCAAAGCAGTGCTATATAATGGGGGTAAAAAAATTAAAAAAAAAAGGTATATATATATATATATATATATATATAAATAAAATACAAAAATGCAAAAAGGGGAAAGATGAGAGACCAAATTCTCTGCTGGATGACCAAAAAATATGTATGAAACTGGTGTCTATATCCCAAACAACATGAGGGATAAATGATACCTGTTGCAAATAATATACTTAGTAAAAGATAGAAGTAAAAAATAAGCTATACAGTACAAGGAACTGTTAGCTTTAGGCAATAAAAATGAAAAAAATATATCGCTGGAAAACTGAAGCATAAAACTGGATCACTTCATATAAGAAAAAAATGCCAGTTTATTGAATATATTAAAATAACTTTGGAAAAAGTTAAATATAAAAATACAGGTCACATTAGATTCAGAAATGCATTACCAGACTGAAGCATTGAAAAATAACAGCAAGGACCTTCAGATTGTTAAGGATGGATATGGATTGTGATGATTCAATATACAGCTGCCGGTGAGGATGGCTTGTGTCTGTGAGCACGTCCCGAGCAGGAGCCTCACTTCAGGGGACGTGCAGGACAGATGCCTCCGGTGGCGGTACTTTCCAAACAGGTCCTGCGTGTGCAGATTAGTGGTGCTGCTGGTACATGCGTCTGATCCCGTGTGTTGCTGGAATGCCTGTCTTACGCGTTTCGTAGGGAATGGGCCCTACTTCATCAGAGACATAATAGTGTCTAGTGCTTCAGTTCTTCTTTATATACATTGCCTAATTATCAATCACATTTAGGTGTTAAAACCAATATATTCTATACTAATAAAAACAGTATTTGTACCTGCATAAAATGATACATACATATACATAAAATGCAAATCATTGCCACTAGGGTAAAAACAATATTTATAAAGTCTCATAAAATGTAGACAGATACATAAGACCGGTAAATGTAAAAATACATAAAAGCAATATATGAATGTTCCAAATGGAAGGAACATATTTAATGAATCAATTAGAGATAATGAAATGCTGGACATAAATTGGTATATATACATGAAGATAGGTGGATAAAATCATAATAGTATATTGACTACATATGGATAACCAATACTAGATAGGTACCATATAGGTATAGTGTCAATCCATCCTTCTAGGAGAAAACAGGAGAAAAAATAATAGTTAATATATACAAAATAGATAATAAATAAATAAATGAATAATCCCTGGTGGTGGTCTGTAACTATAAATAAAGGTTGAAAAAAAAAAAAAGATATATTATAGGAAAGCATTAAGCTCAAAATCTACATTGAGTCCCTTAGGGACCAAAGTCCCTAACTTAAAAATCCACTTCGCTTCTGTCTGATCTAGAGCCTTATCAATGCTGCCTCCTCTCCAGTGGGTATTCACTTTCTCAATAGGCATAAATGCAAGTCCTGTGGGGTCTCCCCCATGTATCTCTTTAAAGTGCTTGGAAAGATTATGCGTTGGAAGTCCCTTCTTAATATTTCTAATGTGTTCAGCAATACGTATTTTGAGGGGTCTTTTTGTACGTCCAATATATTGTTGTGGGCATGGACATGTTATTAAATAGATAACTCCTGATGTAGTACAGTCCATGTTGGTCTTGATATCATATTCCTCTTGAGTAGTGTGGGATTTAAATCCAGTGGTTGTGTCTTCTAATGATGGATTATTTCTACATGCTAGACACTTCTTGCATCTTGTGAAGCCACTGATGGTACCTTGATCCAAATCAGCACTTTCAGGTTTAGTGGTCGGTGCCAGCATAAGTTGCAGGTTGGGTGCCCTAGTAAAAATAATCTGAGGTTGATTGTCGAGGAATTTAGATAACGTTGGATCATTCTTAAGGATCCCCCAGTGCTTCCTAAGTGTCTTCTGTATTGTATGAAATTGATGATTATATTTAGTGATAAAGGTGGGTGCTGAATTGGATACTTCTGTGGTGCTGGGTTTATTGCATAAGGTATCCTCTCTTGGGGTGGTAAGTGCTATATCCATAGATTCTTCTAATAGCATTGGGGGATAACCCTTTTTCAGGAATCTCTGCTTCATTTCTTCCATTTGTGACTTACACACTTCATTATTCGAGCAGTTACGTCTTACCCTCCTGAACTGGTTCTGAGGTATGTTTCTTAACCATGTTGACTTGTGATGACTGTTAAAAGGAATAAAACTATTACAGTCCACATTCTTCTTAAAAGTCTTGGTGTTGATTTGTCCCTCTTTGATATAGATATCCAGATCTAAAAATTCAATGTGTTCTTTAGAGTGGTTAAAAGTAAAGTTCAGATGATATGGGTTGTTGTTAAGATAAGTTTTAAAACTCTCTAAGGATCCAAGGTCTCCTTTCCATATAAAGAAGCAATCGTCGATATATCTGAGCCACAGGGACAGATTTGCGCCAAATGGGCAATGGGTCCATATATATTCTTCTTCCCATTTGCCCATAAATAAATTAGCGTAACTTGGCGCAAATCGTGTCCCCATGGCTGTGCCTTCAATCTGTAGATAAAATAAGTCATCACACCAAAAATAATTATGTGTGAGAATAAAAACGATACACTGAATGAGGAAATCAATTTGGTCATTTTTTAAATCGGAATATGTTGCTAGGGAGAATTGTGTGGCCTCACATCCTTGGAGGTGTTCAATTACTGTATAGAGAGAGGTAACATCAGCAGTGACTAAAATCATCTCATCTTCCCACTTAAAATCAGATAAAATGTTTAAAACTTGAGTGGAATCTCTGAGGTAGGATTTTAAACAGGAGACCAAACGTTGCAAATATTGGTCAACGTATTCAGAAAGGTTTGAGGTGAGGGATCCAATTCCTGATACGATTGGCCTTCCAGGAGGTTTCACCAGTCTCTTATGTATTTTTGGTAGATGGTAGAATACCGGTATCCTTGGGTATTGGACATACAGATATTTGTATTCTCTTTCATTTAAAATCCCTCTATCCTTTCCGTAATTCAGTATTTCCTTAAGTTCGTCTTGATATTGGATAGTGGGATCACCTTTCAATTGCAGATACGTATTAGTGTCTCCTAATAATCTCCGATTTTCCTCCCCATAATCGCTGGTATTGAGAATAACCAATCCACCACCTTTATCCGCTGCTTTTATTGTGATGTCTTCAGATCTCATGAGTTGTTTGAGTGCATTCCTTTCTTTTCTGGTCAAATTATCTTTCGTGATTTTCTTGGTGATTTTGCTCTTAAAGTCTTTCTCGACCATTTTTTCAAATATTCGAATGGAGTCATTTTTCATGTGTTGTGGATAAAAAGTGGAGGTTGGGTGTAGCCCAGTGTGAGTATAATCCAAATCTGTTTCTTGTTTTGCCATGTCTTTTTCAAGGAAGAATTTCTTAATTGATAACTTCCGTATAAATTTGTGTAGATCTATAAAAACGTTAAAATCTGAATTCTTGGATGTAGGAGCGAACTTAAGGCCTTTTTTCAGAAGGGATGTTTCATCGGAGGTAAGGGTCCTATTGGATAAGTTGAAAATATTTATTTCCTCCTTTTCTGTTGTGTCTGCTGTGTCTGTTCTTCGTATATTTTGATATGAATAAAGAGTCATCCTCTCTTTCAATACTCCCCTCACCTTATGATAGGCCCACAAATCCTTCATAACAATATTTTCTCTTTGAATAAATACAATCACCTCTACCTTACAGATAAAGCCAACAACTCTAAAACCCTGCAACACACTCAGAGCCTGGATTTACACATGAATACCAGAAGGCTATAAGAATGAACTCTTCTTACCATTCATATTGAAAATCCTCAACAGTGTCTCAAAATGTATAATTAGACAAGACATGTTTGATTCTAACAATTTGCCAAAGCATGTCAAGAACCAGTAAGGTCTGGCACTCTACTTTAACAGCTTTCTTCTTAATGTTAATATCAACACTATGGCTAAGGTTATGATAAGCAGACTTAATATCCATCTGAGATCATTGGTTCATGTGGACCAATTGGATTTTTTTCCAAACAGACAAGGTGCACACAATACATTGATGTTTTAACTTGATATAGTTAGTTTGTGACTGACATAACCATTTTTGTTACCTTTTAGCTGGCAATATAAGTAATCTGAAGTAATAATATGGAGCCAAGAAATATGATGTGGTTAACAGAAGCAAAAAACATTACAGAATTGAAATCAGAATCTGAATAGCAGCCCTAGTCCTGCATTGTGGAGCATCACAACTTTTCAACTAGCCACAGTATGTGTCTCAGTTCTCAGCTATAGAGTGACTGAACACTTTACAGAAAATGGTGAGCACTGGGCAGCAGGCAGCTGAGCTTGCAGTCTGAATTATTGAATTTATTAGGGCTGTTAGAACTGTTTGCCACTTCCACTTCCTTCCTTAGTCCTCTCTGGGCTCCTATTTAACAAATTTATGGGGTACTATTTTTTGTCTATCAATTCGCCAGGCCTTTTCGATAAGCATGTGCTAAATTTTGATTATGCCAAATCCTTTTCAATCCATGTCAATCGATGCAATCAAAATAGCCTTGTGCAGGGAGAAACATTGCTGCAGAAATTTCTTTTTTTCTTGGTGACAAAATGCCTGCCCAGTGCCAATCTATCTCCCACTCAAAGTTTTTTTTTTCTAGTGCTTTTGGCAGTACTAAGAACTAGTGGCTACATACAGCTAGTCTCACACTATAATAAAAGATCTCCCACTCCAACATATGTACAGCAAGGGTCAAACACACAGTTGGTCTATCTTCCTCCATAGTTGAAGTCAAAAGGTTTTGACGAATTCTGCTTGAAAGTAGTCTCTGTTTTCCCTCTGTTGGCCACTTCATTTGATCTGTGAATAAAATCTAAATTTTTGCTACTTCTTGATTGGACACGAGATCTAGCCCACATTATTGGGCAGACCTCTTTAGCATCAAGGGAAGCTAAGCTGATTATTTGTGCCTCCTCCTCAAAAAATAGCCTCTTGCTTCCATACCTTATGCTCATGAAATCTGCATTCCGAATCACGGATGAAAACAAGGCATGCTCACGCAAGTCAGTCCTCCTGAGATTCTGGCACATGTCAGCTGGGAAATTGTAATTTCTTCCAATAACTCGATTGGCCCATATTTGGATGAATTGCAGTCTGGTCCAAAATGACTCTCCAAATGTAATACAAAATATTGTTTTCATAGCATATTATTATGTCTGATATTTTGCCAATAAATGTTACAGGTTTATAATCTGGCTATACAACAGGAATAAATAATAAACAGGACAGTAACATTCTTACAATCTATGCATAGGAGGGCATACCACATCCCAGCAGTTGTGGCGCTTTACTGTATCAAGCCAACTTAGTTTTAAGATGGTAGAAATGGCAGTATAAGCATTTAGTATATTAATAGAAATACTCAATGAAAATCTTAGGAACTTTCCTCTCAGTTTTGGTTTATGTAAGAATTCTAAAATGTTTCCACTGATCCTCAGGATGGTGTTTCTGTTGTTTTTGCAATGGAACTGCACATTTTGTATGCAATTTTATTTATTTTTAATAGCTACTAACTGCCAATGTCATAAAAAAAAACACTTCATTAAAAACATGACATTCTTTTTAACTTTATTTTATTTAATTGTCATAAAATAAGCTACAGGAATAAAATTTAGTAATGTAGTGAAACTATGTAGTAATAGGGTTTCTATAATATATTATCATATTTTTTTTTGAATTGTACAAGAAAAATCTAACATTTAGTGAGTTCAGCTACAAATCTCCAAAACTTGTCACTGCATTAACTAGAATCCACTGGCACATTGCAACACACTGAGCTCAGATATTAAACAATGATTCACTGAATAAAAAAAAAAGTATATTTAATAAATTATGTACAAAGAACAATCCTTGAGCAAATGTGTGCGATCACCACGGAAAGAAATGGAATGATATTTCTAATTGCTCCACTTTTAGCATTTTGACCCACAATTTAATCCAAATAATGCAGTATTATTTTTTTATCCAAGTTACAAAGTAGCCCCCATTAGCACAAATGTGTAGTAGATATGTTGAAAATAATGATAGATAAATAGATAGAAAGATAGATAGATACATAGATAGATAGATACATAGATAGATAGATAGACTGAACACAAAGATCTAAGACTTTTGTAGGTACACAAAAGGCCTATTTCTCTCTAATATTGTTCACAAATCTGTCTAAATCTGTGTTAGTGAGCACTTCTCCTTTGCCGAGATAATCCATCCACCTCACAGGTGTTGCCTATCAAGATGCTTATTAGACAGCATGATTATTGCACAGGTGTGCCTTAGACTGGTCACAATAAAAGGCCACTCTATAATGTGCAGTTTTACTGTATTGGGGAATTCTGGGGGGGGGTCCAAAAACCAGTCAGTATCTGGATTGACCACCATTTGCCTCATGCAGTGTAACACATCTCCTTCACATAGAGTTAATCAGGTTGTTGATTGTGGCCTGTGGAATGTTGGTCCACTCCTCTTCAATGCGAAGTTGCTGGATATTGGCAGGACCTGGAACACGCTGTCGTGTTTGCTGATCCAGAGCATCCCAAACATGCTCAATGGGTAGCATGTCCGGTGAGTATGCTGGCCATGCAAGAACTGTGATGTTTTCAGCTTCCAGGAATTGTGTACAGATCCTGGCAACATGGGGCCGTGCATTATCATGCTGCAACATGAGGTGATGGTCTTGGATGAATGGCACAACAATGGGCCTCAGGATCTTGTCATGGTGTCTCTATTATTATTATTATTATTATTGCCATTTATATAGCGCCAACAGATTCCGTAGCACTTTACAATATTATGAAAGGGGATTTAACTATAAATAGGACAATTACAAATAAACTTACAGGAACAATAGGTTGAAGAGGACCCTGCTCAATCGAGCTTACATTCTATAGGAGGTGGGGTGTAAAACACATTAGGACAGGAATGTGCAATCAAATAAGGTGGGCTGCCCTTTAGGAGAGGGCAAGAGACGGGTATGTGAGGTAGGGGTTAGTCTTGGAGGCCATAAGCTTTCCTAAAGAGATGGGTTTTAAGGCACTTCTTAAAAGATGCAAGACTAGGGGAGAGTCGGATGGCGGTAGGCAGGCTATTCCATAGGAAGGGAGCCGCCCGCGAGAAGTCCTGCAAGCGCGAGTTGGCCGTACGGGTGCGGACAACGGACAGGAGGTGGTCACGGGCAGAGCGGAGAGACCGAGAAGGGACATACCTGTGGATCAGTGAGGAGATATAAGAGGGGCTAGAGTTGTTCAGTGCTTTATAGGTGTGAGTTAGTGCCTTGAATTGACTCCTATAGCACACAGGAAGCCAATGTAAGGCACTTACATCAATAAAAGGCACTTGTGTTCGTTGTCCATAACATACACCTGCACATACCGTAACCCCACCGCCACAACGTTGACATCAGCAAACTGCTCACCCACACGCCGCCATACACGCTGTCTGCCATCTTCCCAGTACAGTGAAAATCGGGATTAATTCGTGAAGAGAACACCTCTCCAAAGTGCCGGATGCCAATGAATGTGAGCATTTGCCCACTCAAGTCAGTTATGACGATGAACTGCAGTCAGGTCGAGACCCCAATGAGGACGACGAGCATGCAGATGAGCTTCCCTGAAATGGTTTCTGACAGTTTGTGCAGAAAGTCTTTGGTTATTCAAACCGATTGTTGCAGCAGCTGCCTGGGTGGCTGGTCTCAGACGATCTTGGAGGTAAAGATGCTGGATGTGAAGGTCCTGGTCTGGTGTGGTTACACGTGGTCTGTGGTTATGAGGCTGGTTTGATGTACTGCCAAATTCTCTGAAACACCTTTGGAGACGGCCTATGGTAGAGAAATGAACATTCCATTCACAGGCAACAGCTCAGGTGGGCATTTTTCTTCAGCATGCCAATTGCACACTCCCTCAAAACTTGCGGTATCTGTGGCATTGTGCTGTGTGATAAAACGGCACATTTTAGAGTGGCCTTTTATTGTGGCCAGTCTAAGGCACACCTTTGCAATAATCATGCTGTCTGAAGTGGATGCATTATCTCGGCAAAGGAGAAGTGCTCGCTAACACAGATTTGCGAACAATATTTGAGAGAAATAGGCCTTTGGTGGACATAGAAAAAGTCTTAGATATTTTAGTTCAGCTCATAAATGGGGTCAAAAACAA